AACCATTGTGTATTTAACTCAAATGATTGTGTATTTAACTTGAATTTTGATACAGTAGGCTCCGTTCTTAACTATGGGTCATCTGTAACCTGGGCATTCTTAACCCGGGGACTACCTGTAATAGTTTTCAGCCTTTTATATCTTACCTTTCACGACTCACTTTCTCCAAAACCCTGAGTCCTACCATGAAAGACAGAACAAGCCCATACTTTTAATAAGTGTTGTGCATAACTTTGAAGGAATATGTCTGGTCAACAAAGTTTTAGCCATATCACCTGACTGAAGCAGATTGGTGAATCAAAGGCAAACCCTGTTTAAAGTTGCAATCAACTCAAGTGGGCACTTTTCAAACCTCTTTCCAAATTCAATAGCTTTTCTGATGCTTCTGAAATTGTTCCAGTATATTACAGTGCATATATAATTGGGCTACTAATTATAGTTAGAATTATTCTATCTTAAGGAGAGAATATCAGGAAGATGCAGGAAAAAGCAATTGAAACAAATTTAAACCCTTACTGAAGAATTCATTGCATGTTTTTATGCATCTGTTCATCATGCAGAATAAACAAGGATAATCAGGAAATATAAAATTCACAGGGATTATGTTGGATAGTCTTGTTCCTGCACCATCTAGCCAATCTTGGCAGATCTCCAAAAGCTAAGCAGGCTCAACTGGGAAGTTGTAGAAACATTCTGGAAAAAGGCAGTCAGAAACTGCATCTACGTAGCTGCCGATAAAATTGAATAATTTAATTGTTAATATTTTAATAGAAGTTAAGTTTAATTATTCAAATCAAAGTGTTCCCTGCAAATGTAATGGAAAGCAGATGTAATGTACACAATTTCTTTGGAAAATTAGGTTTTGGCAAAAGAGCTTGTGACTCCCGGAAGGTTCAGCCATCCCAAAGACCAAGCTGGGTTTGTGAAGCTTTTGATCTGGAAGCCAGTCAGGCCAATGGACCTTGATGAATTTACAGAAAGGCTGAGTGAAAGTCCGTTGCGAAAGGAATGGGCAAATTCCAAGCATATCCCCCCCACCCCCAGTCACCAAGCACTGGAGATGACAACAACAAGGAATGTGTGGATAGAGAGCAAGACGACGCCTTGGGGACTTAAGGGCCTTGCAATATGCCATCAGTTCGTTTTTGGGGAATACCTGGCCTTCACTCTCGCACTGACTGACACCCCCCACTTCCTAAGAGCACACATGCTTAGAATGCCTGAATATATCTTCTGAACAGGTGCTCTGCTACAATGTCGCCCGGAGCATTGGTACGGCAGCTACTGGATGGACATCTGTTGGGAAATCGATTCAACCGCGCTCCAAAGATTCCTCAGCAGCCTTGCCGGGCTTCCTTTTCCAGAAGACCGAGGCACGGACAAGTGGATCGCTCTCCCAGATCTGACATTACAAACGGGGAAGAAGAGGATCCATCTGAGAGGGAGGGACGGAGGGAGCAGGGAGAAGGCAGGCAGAGCTCGCAAGCCTATGGGCAAGGATCCAACAGCAGCCTACAGAGTGCGGCATAACTATGAGCTCCTGGCTTACGCGCCACTTTCTTTGTCGACGTCCATACGGAATAGCTAACGCGAAGAAGAGGAGAAGGAAACAGCGCCCACAGTATTTCGGGATTACTATACGCGGTATTTTCTTAAGCAAAGGAGTCCGGTAGCGCTCCTGCGGGGTTAACGACGGCGCTGCCTCCCTGTGAATGCCGCCTTGGCTCGGGCGAACTTTTCACCTCTTTTCCTCTTTCTGCGCGCGCGCGCCACCTGACAACCCTCCCCTGCGGCTTGGCTCGTTAGCGAATAACGCGTGGCTGCCGAGCGGGGCTGACCGGCGGCTGGCTTGCGAGGAAGCAGCAGCTTCGCGGCCAGCGCCGAGGACGCCTCGCTGCCTCCTTTCGCCGCCGCTCTTGGCCGGGCGCAGGCGGGGCGGAGTCGCCTAGGGCGAGCCGCTGAAAGAGGAGCCGCGGACGTCCTTCGGCCTTGGGGGCGCGGATCTGTCGGCCGCGGTTGCAGCAGCGGCAGCAGCTGCTGAATGTGCGCCATGGCGCAATTTCCCATCACAGAACTCTGGGCGCCAGGAAAGCTTCTTCCGCTACATATTACGCGGCTCACGAAAATCTGTCCCCCAGAAGTGGGGCAAAACGACTTTTTGCTTTCTTACTGCTCCATCTCGGTGTTCTCCACGTGCTCCAGATGCTCAAGAGCGCAACTCCGGCCGCAGCGCTGAGAGCGAGGCTGAGATTCCTCTTATGTTCTTCATGCCTGTCTCTCCCGCCCACGCCCCGCCCCGGCCCACTTTCCAGTCCTCCGTATGGATCCTTGGCTCCAATTGCAGCTTCCAGAGAGAGAAGCAGGGTTCGTCTGTTATGCCACAAGGCTGTGTCGTGACACGCTACAGACACATGTCTTGCGGCAGACGCTCTTGGTGCATTACGGCCAATTCGTCATGCACGCCCAGCCTGATCCTGAGTCAAGCCCTCGCACTGATGCTCCTCAAGGAGCCGCACTCAGTCGATCTTGGCTGGCCACCCAAAATCGGGAAGGTCAGTCCAGATTACCGTTTGGATGGGAGACCACCAGAAAATCACAGGCTGGGGAGTCGAGAAAACACCCCGGAAGGAGTCAATGACAAACCACTTCCGTTTCGTCCCCTAAAAACCACATGGACGTATCCACGGAATTGCTAGTCAGGTTCGACTTGAGGGAATCCTGACCTATTTACTCGTCTTCATGGCACCTTAATATTGCTCTTGTTCAGGACAGGTGATTCCTGTGGCTGAACTATTTGGGGCTGAGAATTGAGGGGAGGTTGGTGGGAGCCCTCAAAGCCATTCATGTTCTGGCACTCATGATAGACAGACAGACAGACAGACAGCCAGACAGCTATTGCGAAAAGCCTTCTTCCGTTTTCTGCAATATTGGATTTGCTCTGTATGATTTGCCTGAGCGCTGAGTTCAGATGCCTCCTTTACCAGGAAACTGGTAAAACCGGTTTAATAGAAAAGCAGCAGCTTCTCTCACGCACTTTCCTGTAGTTTTCCGTTTCTTTCCTGCCGAATGCTGCTTCTGAGAGCGTCCTTCAGGCGGGAGAACGAAGACTCCTGAGCCGCCCCTGTTCCTCTCGAGGTCGCCCCCAGCAAATGCGCGGCCTTCGAAGAAGAGCCTTGCAAGTCAGGACAGTAACACTTTCCTCCCAGACTGAGTCCAATTTCTTGGGAACAAGTGTGCGGTCGGTTGTTTAAAAGAATTAACTGACCTCTTGTATTTCCACTTTAGAAGTATTATGTAGTTATCTTCATAGGCAGAGCATTTCCAGGAAAAGGAAAGACTTCGGAGTTTCATCATAAATTGCTACGGATTTTTGTAACCTATTTAGTGGCTTCCTTTCTTCTCAGGTTAGTAGATTTTAATGTTATACCTCAGTTTATCGTTATCTATCAAACAATAACATAATGAACGACAGTAGTTAGTAAATAGCTATCTAGGCTACAATCCTATGACGCTGTACCTAGATAAATCCCACTGAACACAAGAGAGTTACTTCTGAACCATAAATAGGTTTTCCCTGTACAGTAATCCGATTGCCTGCTTTGCCAAAATAATTGCTTAGTTAAATATATTGGTATATTATTAAATGTGCAAGTTTTTCTTTAAATAGTCTGCATACTCATTTTTTAAAATTGATGACTGAAGACTGACATAATATTCTGGATTTCTAGAAAAAGCCCAATTTCCAATTTGTACAATCTTGCAGAAATGTATCTAGCACATTTTAGAAATCCTGTTAACAGGAACATTGGTTATTGGATATGAACCCTCTATTACTAATAACTTTCAGCAACCAATATAGTAGAGAATGCTTTAGTTTTAAATTAAACTAGACACTAATAAGGAATGCTGGTTGGTTATATTATCTGGAGATAAGCAAGATAACGGATAATAAAGGAGGATTATACATTCAAAACTGCAATATTTTATTTACTTAACAATGCTTTTAATGACTTACTTTTGAGCAGAGATTAATGATATCAGAGTTGGACAGCCAATACATTTAAATAACTTAATAATAATAATCTGTAACTGTCTTCAATCATCAATCAAATCAACTATAATAGTAGTAGAATTAAGATTCCACATGCTTTCAAAAGGATACAGTTTTGCAAGGGAAGATCTTGAGACAGGTATATTTGATTCGGATCACTAATGGCTGATTCCACAGAGACTCTTTCATGTCATTTCTTTCCATAGATAACATAGTTTTGGTGCAATGTGTTCTTCTTTGGCATAGATTTCATGTAATCTTACAACCATAAAGTAGTATTTTTAAGTTATTTCTATCCTTTTCTAGTTCACAGCAATATACTATTACAAGGTACTTTTTTTGTAAGCCAATGATTTCTAACACACACACACACACACACTCACACACACAGAGTATTGGTAACATTCTGGTTTTTAAATTTGGGGGATTCTTTTTTTTTCCTATGTTTTAGTTCTGTTTAATTTTACCATTTATTAGTGATCTTTAGTATGCATCCCTTTCTTGTTTATCTTTTTTTATTTTTCTGCTTTGTTGATTTTTTGTAATCTTGGAATAAATTCAATAAAAGAGAAAAATAATAAAAAGAAAAAAAACTTTTCAGTTGTCTGACAAAGTAAATTATCCAGAGCTGTTTTATTTAATTCTGTTTTACTATACAATACTGTTTGGGGGGGGGGGGACGGACGGGAGCGGAATTT